TCCCAGTTCCTCGCAGTCCCCTCCCCAGTCCCTCCCAGTGGCTCCCAGTGGCTCCCAGTTCCTCCCAGTCCCTCCCAGTTCCTCCCTGTGGGGCCTCCCCCCCGGCCTCCGTTTCCACCCCGCCCCCGGGGTCTCCCCCCCAATCCCTTAATGGGAGGGGGGGCGGGGGGGACATGGGGGGGACCCCAAATTGGGGGCTAATTGGGGAATAATTGGGGAATAATTAAGGGGCTAATTGGGGGGCTAATTTGGGGTGATTGAGGGATTAATTGGGGCTAATTGGGCTAATTGGGGAGCTAATTGGGGGCAAATTGGGGGGTTAATCGGGGGACTAATTGAGGGGCTAATGGGGGCTAATAGGGGGCTAATTAACTGAGGGTTAATTGAGGGGCTAATTAATAGGGCAGCTAATTGGGGGGCTAATCGGGGGCCTAATTGAGGGGCTAATTGGGGGTCTAATGGAGGCGCTAATTGGGTAATTGGGAGCTAATTAAGGGACTAATCGGGGGGCTAATTGAGGGGCTAATTGGAGGGGTAATTGGGGGCTAATTAAGGGGCTAGTTGGGGGGCTAATTAGAGGGCTAATTAGGTCCCCCCGGAGCAAAGTTGGGGGGGGTCCTCGCGCGGTGGCCCCGCCCCCCCCGGTGCCCTCCAATTAGCGCCTTAATTAATTAATTAATTAATCATCCGTTAATTAACTGGAGCCGTTAACGAGGTTGTCCCCGTGTCCCCCCCCGTCCGGATCCTCCGTGCGGGGGGGGCAGAAAGGGCCTTAATTACCCTTAATTACCCTTAATTGCCCTTAATTACCCTTAATTGCCCTTAATTACCCTTAATTGACCTGCGTGCAGGGTCGAGGGGGTCCCCGATGGGGGGGGACGTCCTGATTGGCGCTAACGGCGCCTGCCCCTCCCCGGGGGGGTGTTAATAATTAATTAATTAAGTAATTAAGTAATTAATTACGGACGGCGGCTCGTTAATTGCGTCGCTCTATTAATAGTAATGGGGGGGCGGGGAAGGGGCCCAGGCGTCCGGGGGCT